TAACTTCATCCAAGGAGATATAATGATTTTTCACTAACTGTTATGTTTGCTGTTAGGTGTCATCAGGTCATTTCCAACTCTAAGTAACCCTATGGGCCAGAGTAGAACTGTGCCTTAGGGTTTCCTTGGGTATAAACTCTGCAGGAGCAGATCGCCCGGTCTCTCTCCAGCAGAACCACTTGGTGAGTTCAAACAGCTAACCTTTTAGTTAACAGCCGGAGCTTGGTTAACTAGGCCAATATAAAAAAAAAAAAATTACAAAGTTCCCAAAGCAGTTGTGAAACTATATTTTGTCGGGAATACTTATGGAGCACATTGTAATTAATACTGGGATTTGTTCCAAATGTATCAATTAGACACAAAGTGTCTGAGCAGTTCTGAAACATTATCTGTCACCTAACTTGGCTCTTGAGTTTCTTAATGGGTTAAGCATCTGGAGCAACTAAGTTTACTAAGAGAACAACATTCTGTTACATACCAAAAAACAAACTGGGTACATAAAAGTCACCATCTAGGCTATTCCAAAAGGAAATAATTAGGAACCAACATAATTAGTATATATATGAGAATAAAAGCAGTAAATTGAAAATAAAGTTTTTAAATGCTAAATCTAAACAGAAGAGTTTACACATTTTAAATGTGCACCTCGAACAATCTACCATAGGAGATCAAAAGGGCAGCATTGGCCAAGGATAAAAATTAGAAGGCAGGCATGGATAGGAAAGGATAAAGGGAAATGGTAACTACAGGGAGGAGGTAGAAGGAGTGCTGTTACATTACATTGTGGAGACTGCAATCACTGTCCCCAGAAACAAAATGTTGTGAACCGTTGAATGGAAAACCAATTTGCTCTATAAACTTTCACCCAAATCACAATACAAAGTTTAAAAAAAATTAAATGTGCAAAAATCCTGAACACTGAAAAGTCAATAAAAACATTCACCAGGTAAAATAATAGCACAACTTCTCAAATTTAAGGAAATCTTACTTTGGGCCACTCTGTAGTTAGTCCAACTCTCTTGTGTATATTAATGGGAATAGCTATCTTCTCACAACACTCCCATAAAGCATTATTATTGTTCCCATTTTACAGGTAACAAAACAGTATTCAAAGAGCTTAAGTAATTTGCCCAAGTTCATACAGGTAGTAGGTAGCATTTGAACCCAGGCTGGGAGACTCCAAAGCACCCTTGAATACTACCCTAGCTCAGTTTCATCACACTGTGACGCTTTTAGAGGTTTAAAGTTATTTGGCTAGAGTGACAAAGAGGAGGACTAATTAGAGGTTATAAGGAAAAAAAGCTGCCCTGGCCCCAAAAAGGCTAGTTTCAGAATCATGATACTAGATGCCACTGCTTTCAAGCTTTTAGCCTATAATCACCCTATATTGAAACCAGATTTATGGGCTTTTCAGAGGAGAGCTTTGTGATTTTCTAAAGCAGACATGTTTGGTATTTTAGAAGGTCAAACCCCCTGTGGTGCAGTGTTTTTAATAGAATCAGTTCAGCAGAAACTAGAGACACACCAGTCAATTTCTAGGAAGCCTCTGAACCTTTCAAAATCAAGGGTGGTGTGGGGGTGGGGAAACAACATAAAAAGATATAACCATGTCTATTGGAAGTAGCTACAGAAGAAACATCATGGCAATTTTGGTCCTATTTGTCCCTGGTTTGGGCAAATTTCCACTGAGAAAGGGAAATTACTTTTCTGGGCGAGTTCAATGCCTTTAAACAAGGGCTGCTCCTAGTTAGCCAGGCCTTGTATTGATACCACATCATAGTAGTAAATATCTCTGAGAGGAGAAACCAATCACCACCACCATTCTTCCATCACCAAATCAGGCAGGCAGTTACCTCATGAAGGGTCCTTGAACTCCCACTCCCCTCAATTCTACTCTCATAGAGAAGTACAAGTAGAATCCGTATTTGTCATAGTTAGGTGCCATTGAGTCGTCTCTGACTCATAGCAGTACTATGGATAACAGAACAAAGCACTGCAGTCATGCGTCATCCTCACTATCTTTGCTCTACCTGAGCCCACCACTGCAGCCACTGTGTGAATTTTGTGTGCCTTCCAACTTGAAGGGCTCATCTTCGAGCACCGTATCAGTGTTTCAGGGCTATTCATAAAGTTTTCCAGTAATGTATCAGACAGTATTTCCCTGCTATGCATAAGGTTTTCACTGGCCGATTGTTTGAGAAGTGGATGGGCCCTTCCTTCTTCTGAGTCTGTCTCAGTCTGGAAGCTCTGCTGAAACCTGTCCACCATGGGTGAACCTGCTGATATGCGAAATACCGGTGGCACAGCCTCCAGCCTCACAGCAACGCTCAAGCCACTACGGTATGACAAACTGACAGACGATGGAGAATCCATTTATGGTTCTTAGCAAAATTCAAAGTTGAGAAACCTGGCAATATATTTTAGTTGCAGGCCAAGTTATGGATAGATCTGACTAAAATTGGTAGCAAGATTGCCATAATTAAGCGCTCGGCTTAACGGAAAAGTTGGAGACTCAAACCCACTCAGAGATGTCTTGGGTCAAACACCTGGCAATCAGCTTCTCAAAGGTCACAGCCTTGAAAACCTTATGGAGCAGTTCTACTCTCCATACGTGGGGTTGCTATGAATTGGAGTTGACTCAGCGGCAACAACAAAAGCAAGATTGCAATGGCATTTGCAAATACTGAGAGAATAGCAAAAAGATTTGTATTAGGAAAAGAGGGCTTGCCTAGTACACGGCTGGCACATAAGACCCAGAAAGCCCACCCTGACGAAGTGGTCCCTGAGCAGTGTCACTATCCCATCACAGAAACTTAAACCTATTGCTGTAGAGTTGGTACTCAGTGACCCTACAGGACTGCCCCATAGGCTTTAAGACCTGTAATCTTTACAGAAGCAAACTGCCGCATCTTTTTCTCAGGAAGCAGCTGGTAAGTTTGACCATTCAGTCATCAGCTTAGTGCTTAACCACTGCACTATTAGGCTCCTGTCCCCATTGTATTGTTGTTGTTATGTGCCGTTGAGTCAGCCCCGACTCATAGCGACCCCTCCTTGGGTTTCCGAGGCAGTATCACTACGGAAGTAGGATTGCCCAACCTTCCTTCCGAGGAGTGGCTGGTGGGTTTAACCGCCAGCCTTCTGGTTAGCAGTCAAGTGCTTTTAGCCACTATGCTACCAGAGCCCCATTGTATAGAGAAGTGTAAAAAGTCTTAACGAACTTGCAGAAATAAGAACTAGAGGTGGGTGAGCAAACACAGGACCAAATAGAGACACTCCGGATTCATCTCCTAGAATTCCTGATTACAGCACTAGGCCCAAGTCTTTTCAGGATGGAGTTGACCAACTTCAAAGTGTTTTAAGGATATGACCTTACACCATTCATTGCTTTTATTTCCTAATTAATTACCGAGTCCTTGCCTGACTGGTACTTGGAAGAAATGGATGAATAGGGAATAGTATCAGGGCAAGCAAGGGGAGGAAATATTTAAGGACACTCAGTTGACAGGTAGGCTCACTGCTTAAAGACAATGATGCTGTAATTTGACCAAGCACTGGTGTGTGGGTGAGGGTAGACATTTCACCAACTCTAAATTTTGATTGATTCCCTTCTCTGAACAGGTTTTAATAGGTTCAACAATCTTTGGTCCCTCAAAACTTGACACACAAAACTGAACAGTTTCCGCAAATTGTAAGGCATGTGAGAACCTCAAAAAAACACAATACGAACTCTGTCACTTATTAGAATGCTTATTCTATACTCCAATTTGTTTCAGATTGTGGACCTACTATTAATCTACGTATTCATTTTTATACTAGTTTCAATACTGATTCTTCCATGTGCTTGGCTACTACATCTGTCTTCCTATGAGACTCAAATTGTGTTTACCATAATATAATCTAGAAAAGACATGCAAAATCTTTTAACATTCATAAAGGAAAACCCCCCAGTCAAATATTTAGACTATAAATTAATTTTTAAGCAAACATTTCAAAGACAATATATATATAACAATTGAGAAAAAAAAAAAAAAAACCCTACATGGCAAATAATTCTCATGTTTAAGATGACAAGGCAGTCCCATTTGGGAAAAAAATATACAAACGTAGCCTAGGTTTGAAGAATGCAGGCTGGCCATTGTTGCCAAAAGACTATCCCAAACCAAAACCAAATTCACTGCTGTGGAGTCCGATCCAACTCACAGCAACCCCTTCTTGGATTGGTGGTATCACTATGGAACTTATTTAGTTGCTTTCCTCCTTAGTCACTGGCTGAAGTCAATGCTCTATTTGGTTGTATGAAAAGAACAATCACTTTGGGGAAGAAACCCTGTTGCAATGTCTTATTTAAAGTCTCAATGGGTAGGTATTTACCGTTCAGTTTTCAGTCAGTAAAACCTTTCTAAGGATTGACACAAGGTAAAAAGATATATTTATGTTAGTACAACACCACATTGAAGGATAAGACTTAAAAACTAAGAACACGATAGAATAAAATTAGGCTAAATTTTGAGTCAAAATATTTAATTTGGTGTGCAACAGAATAAACTGATCAATTAACAGTGAAAGTAGACAGGGACTAGAATTGCATTTAGGTTCTGTTTTTTTGGTTGGAGGTAGACACACTTTAAAAAGATACTCTAAAGCATGGGGATCAAACTGATAAAATACTAACTATGCTAAGGGAACTTCAGAAATTGATTCAACATTATCTAAGCTGACAAATTTAAGATCTCTTAGAGGATGGCTAAAAACCAGAATCTAACAAAAAATGTGGGTAAAACACTGAATGATGAGTAATACACATTTAGAAACTATCCATAATGACACGTGAATGGATGAATTAACAGGATCTTGACCTTATGAAAAGAATCAAACCAAATCCTGTAGTTGAGATTCTACCATATACAACAGCAGATCTTTGTGTGTGTAATTAACATATAGTCTCTTACATGTTCCACTTTTAATTTATGAAAGACACCACTAAATTGCAGGAAACAAAACAAACAAAAAATATATATATATTTTAAATCTTTACAATAAATCAAGATGTAGGAACTTGCAGAGAGCACATTTTAGTTTATTTAGGTACTAAACTCCAGCTCCCTTGGATGCAAATAACCCTGGTAACAGTGTGTACATAGTCTTTCTCTTTGCTTTTATAACTTTAAGCAAATAACACATTTGACTGTATGTTAAGTCTGTGCAAATAATCCTTCAGAAGAAATATCCAAGATTCTGTTTGCAGAGGTCATTTTGTCTCTCAAAGATGATTAAACAAGTTTGTTTTTCTTCAGATAAAGTGCTCCTGTCCAGCAGAACTCAAAGGCCTTCAAGCATTCAAGCGTTCAAGAAGTTATGTTTCGCTAAGATGCGGTCATACAAATTCCAGCTTCCCGTGCCCACTGTACATGCCCCAGTGAACAAGCGAGAGGATCTTGTCATTGCTGAGGTCCGCTTGTCTCATTTTGTCACAGGTCATACAGCAGTTCTCATGCCCACTGACTGGCACCATGCACTCCAAGTCTAACTTTGCAATCTGTCCCTTTTTGGAATGGTGTCCGTGAAAGCTGTAGTGCAAACGCGATAGCATCTGTTGGCGCTGGTCTTGAAGTCTCTTATTTTCACTTCGAAGCATCCTTAAGGCTAACATAATAAGCAACACTAAAATCAGCCCTCCAGCTATAGGAACAGCAATTACTGCTGCCCGGAACCACAATTCTTTGGAAGAGGTCAGCTCCTGCACCTTGGTGATGAGGTTTCTGCTGCTGTCATGCTGGTATCTGTTGCCTTGTCCTAAAGAGAAATACACAAAATAAAACTCTAGATGTTATCTCCACTGGTAGATATTAATGATCATCCATCCATTTTAAACAAGGAATCCCACTGTAAAAGCTTACAATTAAACAAAGAATATCTGGAAAATAAATTCTGTAAAATGATCTAAAGGAGATTACAACTACATTTGTTAACAGACTGTCATTACAGTATAGTAACGATCTTTTAATGTCTTAAATGTTGAAAAAACAGGCAAAACCTATTATGGAGACAGACATCTAATGCTCAGGCAGACATAAAAGCCACTCAACAGAGATACAACTTTGCATCCAGTTACGCTTCTCCCTCTGGTGTCTCTAATTACATTAAGAACAAAATCAATAGCAGACATACCACATCTTGGCTGTCACAAGCCTACAGACCAGGCAAGCATTTTGGTTACAAATGGCTTCTACCTACCTGAGGTCTCACCCTTGGGGGGAGAGAGAACATCATGCAGTCCTCTATAATTGCACATATCTTCATGACAGCATTCCAATGTGGGCATGGTGGTGCCAGAGTGGTTCTGTGCCTGTTTGGGTTGGCAGATATCTGCTGTGCTTGCAAGAGAGTCCAGGCAGCCATGAGTGAGTGGAGAGTTTGTGTTTTGAGGATCAAGAAGTCTAGAGAAGCAGGCACTGAGCTCAGATTTACACATGTAACCAGTTGCCACACAGTGTGCGGCGTCACAGTAGCATCTAATTTCACCTGAAAACAATGAGAAAGCACATGAAAACTTTGCCTAAGAGACCAGACAAAGTATCTATTTAAAGCGATCACAAAATCCCCCCAAGTTCAAAGACATCAGAGCTTACAGAATATTCCGCTAAATGCTTACAATAAGTCAATGTAGACTGGAAACGCCCTTGGTGTAATTCAGTGGTAAGTTTCAATTAAGCTAAATATATTTTTAGAAATGCATTAATCCCAACAGAGAGATTCAAAGTTCAATGTAGATTTCTGATGAGTTATAAATAAAATATTTTGCTTTTGAAGGAAAAGAACAATGGTATTTTCATTAGTCACAAGGTAAATTACATTATTTATATCATTTTAATCCTACATGACCATACAACATAAAAATGCTAGGCTTTTAGATTTTGTCAGTATAAATATTTGATCGGAACTGCTAAATTGTTTACTACCTCTCAGGGCTGTGCCAAGATTTAAGAGCTTTAGCTAACACCTTATAAAGTTATTAACTAGAAACACAACAATCTAGAAATTGCTCAGGTCAGGAGGTTTTAAAACTATGAAACTGGGCAGCTATTTGCAACCTCTCTAGAAAAGGCAAACTTTTCCTATAAAGATCTTTTCATGCAGAGGAGCTTTTAGTCAGTATATTGTAAAACAGGAACTAGGCAGTTTACAATTAGTGGTTTGCTTGCCAAAGTCAATTTCTTTTAACCCAAATGGAAAGTCATAAAACAAGGGGTAAAACTGCAAGGCTAACTTCTCCTCCCCCCTAACTCCCCCTCCTCTTTTACATGTAATTCAACATGTGATCTACAAGGGGAAACATTTAAACTGAAAAGCCTCTGCTGGTTGAATGAAAAATCCTTAAGGAAACCTCAAAATTTTCTACAGGAAATGATTAAAAGTTTCCTTTATAAAAACTTTTTGCGCATTGCAAGTCACCATGCACATTTAGCTGCGATGCAAGATTTGAGGCTTTAAACATCAATTTCAAGAAATAATCTGGTCCCCAGAGTTATCACTCATCTGATATTGGGCTCCACTCTTTGTTATATGCTACAAACTAAAGCTACTGTAAATCAAACTAATACACACACCTCTTCCTAGCTCTGCAATCTGCAGATCTAGCTATTGAAGCCTCCGCTCTGAAATGAAACACAAGGGCTACTACTGCTTTACAAACTTCTCACCCTCACCTTCTTTCTTCCTCCTCTCTGTGAATACCTGAGAAAGGTGTCTCATTTAATTATGTCCAAATTCCAGGCCACCATTTGGTATGCTCCGTTTTCAGAGACTGCGAATGCCTCAGAGCTCTTAAAAAACAGCCAACTAAACACAGACAGTTGTCAGCATGAGTTTAACACTCCAAAGCTGCAGGGCTTGCTCCTGTCTACACACCCAACCCTGGGGCTGGGGCTCAAGTCCGTCTTCATCAGCTTATCTTGCCTCTGTTGCTTCAAAGAAGAACTTTACTTTCCAGAGGTTCTTTTCTTGCCTTTCCAAGCTGACTTGATTTTTCCCTGTAAGCTCACTAGCCTTGTGTGGTGATGACTACATATCCCTCACCTGACAAATTCCATATACAGATTTAAAGTATATATAAAACAGATTAAAAGTCAGTGTTGATCTTATGGGCCTCAGACCTAGTGAAAAAAATAAATAAAAGTAAAATGCTGCTTAAAGGTTTATGAGACTCTATTTAAAATATTATGTTTTTGACAACCTAAAACAGTCTAATAAAATTTTTGACAGGTAACTGGGAAAGTTTTAACAACTTTTTTTTTTTTAATTGGAGCCACATTTTAGCAAGGAGAATGGACTTTTGTATTACTGTATTAAAACTGTATTTCTGTCGTTTCATAAAGTTTCTTCCTGTGGCATGCAAAAAGGCCAGAAAGGGGACTAGTATTTTGAAACAGTGAACAATGCTCTTCTGTTTCCCCCCTTTCTTGTTACTGTATGTAGTGCTTAAACAAAAATGTCTGCTTTTAGTCAAGATGGCTACAGGAGAGACTGCTGGCTTCTTTTAAAGCTTTTGAAGTCCACAGCAGTCAGAAATCTCTGATCCCCTAATTATATCATTATCAGGCACATAGTTTCGGTATCTGTGACTTCATGTCAGCTTCAGTCCCTCCCCGTTCTGCCGGCCTTTGATAGGGCCAGGAGGCTCCCCTCTGCAGGCTGCTGAGGGTTGTTATTTAGGGTTAATTACACCCTTCCTTCCAAAATAAATAAATACTGCAGCACATCATCCTTGCTGGGCTAGCTTATCCTTTAACCTCATGCCTGCTACATGACAATTAGAGAAAAGTGGAGATGCAAAACCTAAATACCGCTCTCTGCGTTAAAAAAAAAAAAAAAGAGGTGGAGGAAAAAAAAGATCTGGTCACAGAACAGTAGGTAGCGTTCATTCAGGACGGGGAGGTGGTGGTTGTTGCTTTGCCGTCGAGTCGGTCCTGGTTTCCGAGGCAGTATCACTACGGAAGTAGGATTGCCCAACCTTCCTTCCGAGGAGGTGGGGGAACTTTGAAATCTTTTGGGAGTATGGATTATTTCGACCTAAAAGGTGAAAGCCTACAGGGGCAAAGAAAAATTGCTGACCGCCCGCCCTTTTAGGGGGTGGTTAGGGGCAGCAGTGTTTTTAAAATATTAAGTGAGTGGGAAATGGGACTGCTGACAGAACCTACTCCCTTCTACGCTGAAAAGCAACACAACACCCTCGCGGCGCAAAGGCACATATTCAGAGCCACACTCTTAAGAGACCCACACACTCGCTCACTCACAAAGCAACTCAGAGACACAAACACACACAAAGAGACACATTTATTCAGACACACAACAGACACAGAAAAATACACTCACAAAAGTATACACACACACAGCCACTGAGATAGATACACACGCACTCGAGGTCAGGGATGTGCGATTCCTTCCGACCGCCAGGGGCCCCGGGATGCGAAGCGAAGGCGGCGATCGGAGCTGATATTATGGCCCCGCTCCAAGGCTGGAAATGATGAGAAGTCCATTACAGACAGACCTACCAAAACATTTTGACAACCACTTGCTCTGAGGTCTGACTGTACATTAAAGCGACCGACCAGGGCACCCGAACGGGCGGCTGCGCAGCTATTGCGGTGATTTAACAAGAATAGAGCAACTTGACGCGACCTGCGAGCATCCGCGCGGGAGGAAACCTCACCCATCGCTAACAAAGCCTTGGCAGCCGGCTTCAAAGACCCGCGGCGGCAGTGGTGACCAGGCTCCGAGAGTCCCGCGCGTGTCACCCGGCCGCACAGTCGCCAAGCCCGGCGGGGAGGAATGCGCAGCGCTCTCCCCAGGAAGCGCGCGTCCCTGAGCTCGTCGGTCTGGCTCAGACTCGCGCCAGTTTCGCGCCCCGTGTCCCTAGTCCTCGATACCCACCTTTGGTGAGTAACACAGCCATCGCACACAGTTCGAGCTGCAGCCAGATGAAAATGTAACTGGAATGGCGATCCATTGACGTCCCCCACGGCCGCTTCGCCCCCGCCGGCTCCCGGAGCCGCGGCGCAGCTGCAGCCTACGACTCCCGGAGCGCCCAGTGCATCGGCGCCCGCGGCTCGCGCGATCCTACCCAGGCACGGCGGGCGCCGTCAGCGTCCGGGCGAGGGGTCGGACCGCGGCTGGAGCATGGACTGGGGCTGTAGGTCGCGAAGAGGAGCCGGCAAAAAGTTTTGCAGTCTGATTCGGCAACCAGCGATCCGCTCCTTCCCTCCGCTAGGTTAGGTACATACACTCGCTCGCAGGCACCGCTGCAGTTTGGGATGGATTTTTGGCTTTCCTCCTCCTAGTCCGGCCACTTTGAAGAAAGTTAAATCGCAGACACAGTCAAAAGCGAGATCCTCGCCCGCACTCAGCCTCTGCAGCTCACAGCTCCCGCGCTGTAAATAGCGCCCCGCGCGGGGAGTCCCTCTGGCACCACCCCGCCCTGGCTCCGCCCCGTGAGCTCTGGGGCCGTTCGATTGGCCGGCAGGCTCTTGTCAATCAGCCCCGCAGCCAGAGGGCGGGCCCGAGACTCCGTGAGGAGGAACTTGTCGGGCGGCCAATCAAGGCGCCTAGGTCCGGGACCGTCTGGTCGGGCCGCGGCCGCCTCCCGCGCTCCCCCTTGCGGCATGTCTGTTCGTGACCTTCGTGAGTATGGTGAGCCCAGCCTCTAAGTCTGCTTCTGACATTCGTCTTCATGCCCTTCACTATTCTGTCACACGATATTTGTCACCCAGCCCGTGCATTCTCTTTTGTTTCCCCTTGAAAAAATGCGAGGAACCCGCATGGTCGCTTTCGGACGTCCGACCTGCCACCTTCCGCGCCCTGGAGAGCCCTAGGGAGCAGGTGGCGGTACCCCGATGCACGCGCTGTCGGCCAGGCGCCCCTCGACGAGTACGGCAGGGTCGCGTGTGACCAGGAGGGGATCTAGTGGAGAACCCGGAAGTGGGGGCGACAGGACTACGGAGGCGGGTCCGGCCGGCGCTGGGGTCCGTTTTTGGCCCCCCCGCCCCCCGCTTCTCCCCCGCGGCGCATCCGCCTGGAGCTGACCGCTCTGTGATCAATAAAGCCCAGACAGACAGACTGTTGATCAGTCGGAGCCGCTAGGTTCTCTGGGGTAGACGGGACGAGTAGCCGGCTAGAGACACTTAACGAAAATTAGCAAATCCAGAAGCACCCGGCGCCAGAGAGACGACACAGGCCGAGACTGACACTCAATTAACCACCCACCAAACAATTGCAGGCAAACACACTGGCTGACCCTGATCAATATCAGCCCCGCAGTGATCTCGTCCCCGAGATGCTAATTCATTTATTAGGGCTCGAGGGGCTGCTGGCCCCAGTGTACCAAAGGCGGTCCTGGAGGTTTTTGCTGTTGGTTGGTTGGTTGGAGGGGGTGGAATTCAGCTAAAAACTCATTATCTGAGGGAATGCTCTTTTATCCCTTCTCCCTCCCCCAACCTGAGATTAACAAAAGTCAGCCATTTGCAAAATTTCCTTTTAGGATCAGCCAACATTTCCTACCTGATTTAAAGCCAAGTTAAGAGGGAGGAAAGAAAAGGCGCGTTAAATGCTAAGGTAAGAGATGTAAAATCAAACCCTTTTGGACTATAGTGTAGAAATGAGCTTTAAGACTAAGAAGAAAAATATGTCTTGGAGACTGAAAATCAAGGCGAATATATTTCAAACGCCTAACCTTGTACTTAAAGTTGTTGAAAGTCTGCAGAGCTGCAGGATGTATTAAGGAAATAGCCTTTGAAAAAATAAGGTTTATATGCAGAAAGAATATAATAATTTCATAAACCAGTGGCCTGAGCATTACTTCACTAGATAAAAAATTGCATCATAAAGGAAGGAAGGGGAGCCCAGCAGAAATTTTAAGAGAAAATTAACTGGTTAGGGCACTAGTAAATAGCAGGAGTTTCTCAAGTGATGGCCCCAGATAACCGGTTAGTGGTGAGAGAGAGTTTGAATAGAACTTCTTGAGTTCTCATTTGACAAGTTAACTGTTCTAAGGGGTTTATACAGACAATACTTGTTTTCAAGTGATTGCACTCTTTTAACTCTTTTATTAGCTGCCAATTTAGTCAATTTCAACTCATAGCAACCCCATGTAACAGAGTAGAACTGCCCTATGAGATTTTCTAGGCTATAATTTTTACAAAACAAGGCCTGGTGGCACAACGGTTAAGCTCAGCTGCTAAACAAAAGGTAGAGGGTTCAATCCACCAGCCACTTGTTGGGGAAAAGATGAGGCAGTCTGCTTCCATAAAGATTTACAGCCTTGGAAATCCTATGGGGCAGTTCTGCGCTATCCTATGAGTCAGAAATGACTTAAGGCAGTGGGTTTGGTTTGGTTTGGGTAATCTTTACCGAAGCAGATTGCCTAGTCTTTCTCCTGTGGCACCAGGTAGGTTTGAACCTACCTTTCGATTGGCATCCTTTCAATTGGCAGCTGTGCACTTAACCATTGCACCACAAGGGCTCCTTCTTTAACTCTAGAAGTCTTAAATCAATTATTAGCTAAAAAGAAACTTTTAGAATATGTAATTTCAACTATTTGAAGTGCCCTCTGTACACCAGGCTCACAGTGTCTGGGATCACAAAAAATGAGTATGTCAGAACTTAAAACAGTAAATCACAAACAATGGGATTGAATGTAATAAAGATTTTTGTGCACGCCTTCAAGTCTAATTGAACCCACACCTGTGGCTTCCAACCAAACAAAAGACAGGTATAAGACTTGAACACGTACCTGAGGTAGATACACTCCTTGGAGAGAACAATCATGGGAGAAAGAAGGACTGTTTAAGTACAAGGAGACAGCTCAGGGGGTAGGAGTGTATGGAGGGATGGACACAGGGAAGAGTAACTATTGGGAGGAAGTGGGAGGGGAGCATTGGGGTAAATTGTAGTCAGTGTCATGAGACGACTTGTGTGTGAACTGCTGTATGGAAAGTGAATTTGCTCTGTAAACTTTCACCCAAATCACAATTAAAAAAAAAAAAAAAGATTTTTGTGCAGGATGTATAATGCATAAAGAAAGGTAAAGAAGTCCAGGAAGCTCTCCTGGAAAAAGTGATGTTGGGAATAACTGCTAAAGGGTAAAAAGAATTGGAGAAGGACCCTTACAACCACAGGGGATCACAGCAATTCAGGCATGAAATTATGTAGGAGGGAGATGGTGGTATAGAAGATGGGCAGAAAGGAATACAAGCAATTCTTTGATTCAGGAGCATAAAATGTGAATCAGGGAATGGACACAGATGTACCAGAAATTAACTGTATTTACCTTTGTTGTTGTTGTTGGTTGCCATAGGGACATGAGATTGGGACTCATGGCAAACCCATGTGTGCAGAGTAGAACTGTTCCACAGGATTTACAAGACTGTGACACTTCAGAAGTAGTAGATCACCAGACCGTTCTGAGACGGTTCAAACTGCCAACCTTTTGGCTGATAGTCAAACACTTAACCGTTCATGCCACCCAAGGACATATTTAATACTTGTTTAATGGAAGAAAGTGTACGGGAATATGTGGATGAAAGTTGTATTGTGGGAGACACTTTTTGAGTATCTTCCCAGCCCAATTAAAAGAACTTGCCCTTTCACTGGAGTGAGCATTGGCAATCACAGGACTTTGACCCTCTCTGACCATAGGTAGTCCTGTGGCCCAAGTTGGACTAATTTTGAGTCTTCTGGGCCTTTGGACGGGGGATGCTGGTCAATCTCTGCAGGTTGCTTGATGAGAGATATACGAATTTGGAAGGAACTCTGGTGGGGCAATGGTTAAGGCATTCAGCTGCTAAGCAAAAGGTCAGAGGTTCAAACTCATCAGCAGCTTCATGTGAAAAAGATGAGGTAGTCTGCTTCCATAAAGATTTACAGCCTTGAAAACCCTATGGCACAGTTCTACTCTGTCCTGTCTGAATCAGAATCAACTTGATGGCAATGTGTTTTATATAAATAGGAAGTGTGGGGCAGCCATAATCTACCTTTCTGCAGAGAAAGAGAAAAATGACACAGGGTGAGGAAGATTTTAAGTCCAAATGGATTTTGAGTCACTGGTGAGGCCTAGCTTCACTTCCTGTCCTTAGGTTCCATATCAAGGTTAACTCAGTAACCTTAGTAAGTTCCCCTTTTTACTTAAGGCTCTTTTATTTGCAACTCAAAGGGCCCAAACTAGGACATTTGTATTTTATTGAATTAACACTGACTTTTATCATTCCAGGGTTTGTGCTCTTTTGGTTCCAAACACAATTCAGGAAAAGAACTTGTGATCCATTCTGCAGACAATAATTTCAACTCCTTTATGTTTATTATTGCTTTAATGGGTTGACTTTTTAAATGGCTAGAAATCTTAAGATAAATAAGTCTGCACTTTATCTAATGGTTTAGGAGCAGACATGAACTTTTCAACTAAGCAAATGAGTATTTAAATCAATATGAAAAATCAAAATTGGTTTATGAATAATATGTCAATTATGAGCTCATATTGATAATTGAGAGAATAGGCAACAATTCAATTTAGGCCTCTTAGGGAAAATTGTTTCTCTGCAGAATTTTACTTGCACTTTGCACATAATTCAGTTATTACTTTCCTACTTGTAGGTTGATATTTTAGCAGGCAGCAGTAAAATCTAGATCCTTTTGAAGTTTAATTCAGTGAAGAAATGAAATCAATAACCAAAATTCTTTTTACTCTTAAGAAAGGAAGTCTGAAAATACAACCTGAAAACAAACTAGCTATATCCAAGAACAGAAAGCTGATGAACTGATGAACTGAAATAAAATTGTAATACCGAGCCGGTTGCTTTACTCTCTGTGTTGTAGAGTAGACCTGGGCTCTGCTGGGTTTTCATGGTTGGGACCTTTCATTGGAGGCATCGCTGGGTGGGTTCAAACTGCCAACCTTTCAGTTAGTGGCCAAGCACTTAATTGTTTGTGCCACCCAGCAACCTAAACATTATAATAGTTTTATTACCTTCTTACAATGTTCTAGATATGATTTATCCATGAGCATATGTAGTCTATCATCATAACACACCACTATGATGCATTTTTATGTTTGTCCTATGCCATAAAATAACTTCTGAGATTTTATTTTATTTTTACATAGCAAAAAGAAAAAAAAAAAAAAATCAAGGACCTCTTGTGTCCCTCCCCATCCACTTGTTAACACAACTATGTAACTATTCT